CTTTATGATCATCGTTTCTGATCGAAAATTGGGAGTTTTTGATTCATTCGAATAAAAACAATGTTCCACAACCGGAAATCGCTGACTGCACGATTCAAGCTATTCAAGCAGTGACCAAATGTTCGCAACTTAGCACACCCTGTTATCAAAGTAAACCGAAAATACCGGGTGTCCCGGATAAGAATGATTCAATTGTGTCAATAAACAAATTATTGATAAAGCATTCGCATCCAAAACACCCTGAATACCAATTCGGAGAAACGAGACTTTGTTCCCATTCAACGCTGTAGGGGCTGTAAAGAGGGCATTATTTCGTCTATAACTTGCACAGAAGACCAAACAGTCGACAAAATGCTTCTCAATTGCGTTAACCAAAATTTCTCTACCAGAAGATAAATGTCCACTGCCGGGTCCCTCTCACGTGCAAGACACAGCAGTCAAAAGGAGTTCACAATGCGCTAAATTGGAAACGGACTCACCGATAAATAGGAAGAAGATGAGCAGGCCCAGCTCGCGCATGCTGGCTTTCAGTGTGCGGCCCAAGATCTGCAGACCTTTGCTGTGCCGACTGAGCTTGAATATTCGGAAGACTCGCACCAATCTGATCACTCGCAAGATCGCTAAAGACATCGCCTGGTTCGTGCTTTTATCCTGTCGGCAAGAAGAAACTCGTGCTTCATATGGACTGCCGAAGAGCAACGACTGAGGTCATACCTGTGGACTGACGGGCGCCCTTGGCAACTGTAAGGTGTCCTCTTCCTCCGCCACCACCGTGGCCAATGTGATAAAGTAGGGGATGATGGCGATGATGTCGATGAAGTTCATGACGTCGCGGAAGAAGTGCAGCTTGTTGGGACAGGCCAGGAAGCGCACCGAGAGCTCGAAGGTGAACCACACGATGCAGATCGTTTCGATCAGGAAAAACGGATCGGTAATGTCCGGCACCTGGAACCGAATGAAACGATTGCTTCTCCTCCATCCACTGGCCGAACGACTCCAAGTCCGCCTACCTCGTCTTCTTCGATCTTGGTGCCGTTGGTGGTGGTGTTGAAGACCTTGTAGTGCTTGAACTCGGGCAACGTTTCCAGACAGAAAATGACGATGGAAAGCAGAATGACGAACACGGAAATGATGGCGACCACTCGTGCTGCTTGAGACGATTCGGGGTATTCAAACAGCAGCCACACATCGCGCTGGAACTCTCGGCCCGGTAACGGCTTTTCTTCCTCCTGCAACAGGCACCATAAGCAAATCAAGATTAACGTATTCAATCCAAATAAAGCGAAACATTTGTAAAATTTTGGCGTCATTCCTCTGGGGATGTTGTCTGCCGGTGTTATAGGAGTACAGAAAAACTAGTAAAAGAAATTAATTGTTATTAAAAACTGAGAAATTTGCAAAAAACTATATCAGAAATACGGCAACAATGTATTTCAAGGTAATCTGCCTAATTAACATTGCGCAAATACCTGTTGCTTCGTAATTATTTAAAACTCCGGTAACCATGGATAAATAGAGAGTGACAA